GACCATGAACGCATAAAATATAAGTTTTTGGTTACATTGTGCATCGAGTTTTGAAATGCAATGTTAGTAATGGGATATTAATGTTTTCATTTGCTTCAAGGCTCATTGTAGCTGTAACTTTAGTACTGCTACAAGGCTGCTATCTTTAGTGCAATGCTGAATTTGATGGGTTTTTATTTCTCAGTTCACTATACCTTAAGAGAACAGCATTCCAGCTCCAACAAAGAATGAAGCAAGAAGATGATCATAGAGCTGAGCTTGTTTCGACCATCATGAAATTCAGAAAGAAGGTTGGCGAGCAGAACGAAGAAATTCAAGAGCTCAAGGATCAGGTGATCTTTTGAAGTTATCTCCGGCTATCCTCCTCTTGCACATTCTACTGAATGGAAGTTTGTTTATTCTCTTTGTATCGATTTGCCAGTTCTAGGTGCTGAGATATCAGGAAGAGCTGAGTGGTCATAAATCTGAGGAAAATAGTATGGCAAGCATGGTTAGCCAGATGCAGGTCAATGTGAATAGGACGTTTGCTGAAGTAAGCTTTGCCGATTCTTTTTCATGATGAGGCTTTCTCCGTCGAAGGAGAGAGGCAATGAGTTGTTTCTTCTTTCCGTGCTTATTATGTTTTGGAGTATTAGAAATATCACGTGTTGCAAGTCATTACCGAAAGAAGTATGAAAGAAAGGACTGAGATGGTCGAAAAAGAATGTTTGTTTTTAGTCAGTTGAACGTCAAGTTGCGGCTATCGAGGTAGAGTGCGCTAGAAAGCACATGGGTTACTTGAAGCAATTTCTTCCCGACAATTTCACCAAAGCAGGAGGTATGGCTGATCGCCTAGTTTTGTTACTATGCGGTTGTCTCACCGTCACTTGGAAAAATTGGCAGTGATTTCCAGGAGACAACGATGCTGTTATCCTGAACGTGTTGTTCCCTCGTTTGGCAGCCAAGGCAAAACTTCTCACGAAGCTCATTGCTGAAAGAGTGCGTTTTTTGTATCTTGCTGGGTAGCGGTTATCTTGACACTCATTGTTTTGAGTATTTTTCTTCTCATCTTGCAAGTGCGTTTACAGTTCCCAGGAGTTCCTGGCGGGACACGACGTGAACATGTCACGAAATCTCATAAAGCTGAGCACTGGGCCCACTCTGCACGCATTGCCTATACCATGAATGCTCTGGTAGCTGTTTGTGGCCAATTCGAAAGGTGAGCGGTACTTTTTTTGGTGGTGTATGAAATATAATGTAGTGTTTTCTTCGGGTTTCGGCCTAAAACTTACTAATCCTAATCAGTAATAACAATTGGAGGTATCGAGTGTTCCAACTTCGTAAAAACTTTTTATCGTACGTGGATACTATTGCGTTGCATAATCCTCATGCCGATAAACTAGAATCCTTTTTTTTTACAGTGCCTTGGGTAATATCTCCCTGGAAGATCTCTCCCGTTTGGCTCAATTGCAACCTGAGATGACCTCTCAGGAAAGAGTTATTGACGGATATCTGGACTTTTGAAGCAATCAAGGCTGGATGCGGAGACCTCTCTTGAAAATATGGAGAAAGTCGTCACATATTTCCAGGTATCCTTTTCTTTGGGAATCAGAATACCATAGACTTATATACAGAATCTTACAGAACGTTCTGTCGGTTAATGTAAGCGCGGATAGCTACGACACTCCTGCCTGGCTGAGAAACGTATGTCAGCAGCTCGTGAGCGGAATAGCTGGTGCAAAGTGAATAACCAGCGCATCTCGTTCTTTTTGAAGGTGAACTCTTTTTTTTTCTCGTTATACGTAGTAAATATAAAAAGTAAAAAAAGAAATATAAGCAACGAGCTCCGGATTTCAGCCCGGTTTCGAAGGGTGTGACGTTTCCGAATTGGTACGGACGATTGGAGACGAACTAGCCCAATGTGAGCAACAGGCTATACGTGCCGGTAAAAGAGTACCCACTGATAACCATCTCAAACTTACTTCACCGGTAAGCACCATGCTGTTTTGTTATACAGAAGCGTAAGTCAGAGTGTAGCGGGGTTGTTTTTGTGTGAGTGTTCTTGTTTCAAACAGTAAGTTCTTACCAGAAAGGGTCGAAAATTTTTGTTACAGATTAGTGATGATATTCAATCAGCACTGCATAACCTGGAAAGATTTGCTCTGATTCTTCACGAGACCTGTGGTATTGCAAGTGTTTCAAGCAATATAATCAGAGTGTGTGTCCTTGCCCTCTTTGATCGCGAAAAACTTTGCTGATTGGTTTCATTGTTCCGAGTACATGCTCGATTGAAAACTAGCAAGTTAATTATTCAGAGCTTGATGGATTTGACTCGACCCGACTGAAGGAGATGATTCATGGTGAAATTGAGAAGACGCATGGTTCAATAACAATGGAGAAAACGTTCGAGCCGATCAGGTCTGTCCTCGTGTGATACTTCTACGCTTTTAGTTCCGGCTTTGTCTGATAGTGGCCTATTCCAACTGAAGACGGATGCGATTTATCCATTGTTTGCCCATGTGCACTGAGTTTGTTCTTGGAGACAGGGGTCACAATAATTTGATGTCAATAAAAAAGACGAAAGTAGAAATGCTAAATGTCGTGTGCAGTGAAGAAAGAAAGCCGAGTATATCGTTCGTAGCCAGTGGAAATTCCTTTTTAGCAAGTATCTGTAGGACACCCGAGGAGAATCTAAACACTATTGTTCAATGCATGGAGGGTGGTTCATGGGAGTGGAGCCGGAAGGACTAGGATAGTTTCGATACTTATTGACGGCGGAAGATTTCGAGGAGTCTGATTAGCTTCCACCAGTGTTTGCGAGCGGAGCTCATGCGAAGAAAAAAAATAAATTTTTACGAAGAACAAGCAGCCGCCGAATGCGGAGGCAGTCTGCGGTGGCAGCGATGGAGAAGAGGTGATATGGGAAATTCTCGAGGTTGAAGAAACAATCAGAGTAGATGGATGTATCAGTAATTATAGTAGGGTGTTTCATGAACTTATAGGACTCATAAATTGAAGCAATTGAAAATTGATACTGGGAGCGGCTTGGTCTTCTCCGGCATAATGCCGACAGCGTGTCTTGTCACCGAAACCGAGAGAAAAGTAAGTTATAGCTTCGCTTGGACATGGCCGAAGCACGAATCGAGTCAGCGGGCAAGCAGGACAACGTCAAGGTGCAGCACCTAGAAGCGAAGGTTGAACAACTCGTGGCAGATAACAAGAAGAAGCAGATGTGGGTTCCGTTCTAATTTCGTCGATTATGGAGCAGTACTATTAATAATTACGAGGCACTTATAGGCGCGTTTGAAGGGAAGCAATATTGGTGGGTATAGTATAGAGTTCACGAAAGCAATAGTGGCCCTATACGGAGAAATTATGGTTGATAATAACTGACGAGGTAGCGTAGAATTTTCCGCCTGTTCTGTTCCTGTGTGAAAATGTGTAGGAGGAATTCTTAGTGCGGAGCCCAGGACGCTGGCTGAATATCCGCACGGGATATGTGACTGAACAGGCGAATTGTCGTCGAATCCTCGACTGATTTCACCCTGTATAATAGTCCTCTCTCTTCTGAAGATCCTTCTCATTAAAGCGCAGTGTCTTGAAGTAAACATGAGCTAAACTATTATCAAATTAATGTTCCAGTGAGTTCGACGAGACAATGGATGCGCTGCAAAAAGAGTTGAAGGAATGCGAGCGTGAGAACGCCGAGCTGAAACAAATGGCCAAAAACTTCTCAAGAAAGACGCTTTTGGAGGTAAGTGAAGCTGCATTACTGCTTGTGCTGCTAAGCATTCATCCAAACTCATGCTTCAGCAGCCATTCCCTGTATGTGAAGGTTAGCATGCTGTGCGCTTTGAATTTGCTTCTAAGGGCGGTGGTCGCGCTGAGTGGTTGACGAGTGTTTGTATTCTCAGCTATTTACCAGTAGTGCCAGTCGGCGCGATCTCTGTCTTTTTGAACATCCGCTCGATAACAATTTGACTTATTGGTAACACTTGTAGTCAATGACCAGCATCACTCGCTTAATTTAGGCGCTAGTATTCAATTCGCTGCAAAAACAGTCGGTAAGTAAACATTGTTGGTATGTTGAATCTTGGGAGCGCTTTTCGATACTTTCTTGGGGCTATTTCTGGATGGAGCTCAATTATCCTGTAGTGATATCCTTTCGCAGTTGCGTTTTCTTCTGAATGCTACAGCCATCTCATCTTTCTGGTTCTTGGTCTTTTGCTGTTTGCATGTGCTCGACGTGGTTTAGCAGGTGGTTTTCCTAGTTGGTGATGTCAATTGCCTCCGATCAATATGGCGGACAGTTGTAATACCCTCGCAATTGACGTGGCATTAACGTGGCATCGATTCAAGAACATCTTTGAGCACACGTGATGTCACCTTTTCATCGAGAATTTAGCCACGTGTGCCAATTGCCACGTCAATTTCTGCAATTGCACAATTTCTGGTCATTTGAAGGCGAGGGTACGTCATGGTGCATAGGTCATGGCGATTTCATGAATAGCCTCAGGAATTGAGTCAGCCATGGAGTGCCATTGCGTCCGTGTTTCAAGCCGGCTCCCTTACTGTACGCCATATTGCAGCAGAGTTTTCTTTTTCTACTTTTGTACTCCTCTTTAGCTTTGTTTGCGGTGAGATTGTGCTTGCCTAAGAGAATAGTAGGTAACTCTTTTTATACGGAATACTTTCCTTTCGGACTACATATGCAGTAAGACACTCGTTTTTTCACGGTTTTGGCTAGTTTCTGTTTAAACACTCATTGGGCCAAATTCATGTTTGCTTCACTATTCGAAGCCGCGTAGTGTAGGATAGACGCGAGTTTCCTTAGGATGCGCAGATTACTCCATTTCAAGTTGTAAGGACAAGGCTCGGGTAGAAATTTCATCCAGAGATTGAGCATTAGTGTGTGATGATTCTTGCCAAGTGTGTGACACCATTCGTCGACCAAAGCTGATATTGGGTGGGCCTGTTCCCCCGTGTTCCGCAGTTTGGAAGAAGAATGTGCGTGACCAGAATCTTCCTGAGCGGTGTCAGACGATCCATGTTTACAATTCTGTTTTGAAGAATCGTTATAACTCCACTGCCTGCTTCATTCAAGTTTCCCGAAGTTCTCCATGTCTAGTTTTTGTGCTGCAACTATGAATTTGGCCCATTGGTTTGCTTTCCGATAGTTTCTACCGAATTACTTGGAATTTACACAGAATGTTTGCTTGGCAGAATATACAACGTGATCACGCGCTTCAAGTCCGACAGTGCATTCGACATCACCAGTGGGGCTTTCGCTTGGAAGAGAGGAGGCTGCCCTATTAGAGCAGCAGCTATCTGACAATCGTGATGCTCTTCGTCGCGATACTTTGCAGATTGTTCAATTGAAGGTGGCTCCTAATAGCTCTAATTTTCTGCACTTCCATAATGAACTGTTTTTTTGAAGGCTGACCTATCCCTGGCACAGTCACGAGGTGGCGTGATGCGGTTGCCCGAGATGGTGTGTGGACCAGAGACTCTAAAAGCCAAAGAGAATGACGCCATATTAGAGATGATCAGCAAGGAGGTGGAGCAGTTGAAACGGGTGAGGCTTTACTTCAGTAACTGCCTTATGTTGCAAAGGCTTGCAATCACAGGGCACCAAAACCCGAAGAGGTTAGGGTGACCACCACTCCAACAGGTGTAAATGACGAATGAAAATGATCGTTTTCTTTTTCTGTTGCACGCTCCTACTTGACGTAAGTTCATAGCTCGAGAAAGCAAAGATAGAAGGTTGTATGTTTCAGGACGAATTGAAATACATGGTTTTCATTCCGGATCCGTCGCGATCGCGTCATTTTTGCCAATGAAACAGGACGAGTCGTTTTGAAAAGGAAAGCAAGAGGCTTTATTTATAGGGTGCAAACGCGTTAGTTGGCACTTATCTGACCTCCTTTTTTACTTAGTTTTGAGTAGTTGGTCTTTGATTACACTCGCCGTCACACTCGGCGAAGGACAAGCGACGGACAAGATCGCGATCGCTCCATCGCTTGTCCGTCGCAGAGTGTGACGACGGTCTTTGTGTGCAGATTTCCGAAATTCTCCATATACCTCGATGAGCATACAACTGGTCTTAAGGTCTCCGCCTTCTCTTCTTTCGATCTTCTGATTTGATTTTAGGGTACTATATGAAGAATTCATTTCATTTAAATGTTCTTCAGCTGCGCACTCGTCTCCATCAGTACTGGAAAGATATGTGTCCAGGCCGACCGTTTCCAAACCTCTTCGCGCTTCCAACTCAAAAGCAGCCAAAGGTGAGTTATGCATTTAATTCATATTTCCTCATGTGTAGTAGCTAAATCATATTTTGGAATGTTTTACGAGAGTTCGATTCGATTTGTTTTAAGAATGTTTTCACTAGAGTCATTTCAAAGGTACGAGATGTCAAATACCGGTAAAAACAAACAAAAAGCCGCTTGCAAAGGGGAAGTATATTGAATAATTGGGGTGTAAAAGCATAAAATGATCACGACACTCTCTTATACTCGTGACAGGGCCTTTTTGCTGACTTTTCTAGGATTAACATCTAATTTTGATGGAAATGTTTTGACTTCGATGACGTCGTATGTTTTTCATATGTGATTCATTTGCATGAGAATATATGTTAGACTGTCAAGGGGCTAAACGGTGATTAACATATTTATTTATTTATTTTTTGCTGTACAGGTTCTCATCAAAATCGCCTTTTTGTCAATCATTAGATTATTATAATGTCGTTCAAGTCATAGTTTCCCGGAGCTCTCACGATTTTCTTAACTCGATCTTGTAAGCGTAATAATAATTGCTGATTTTTTTCGAAGTCATGTAGTAGTGTAGCGGAATCCAGTAACTGAGAGGTGATTCTCCTGTTTTCACGTGCTTTATGCAAATTTCTTTTATTGCCTTCATAAATGTTAGTAACTTTTCATGAACTGTTTTGTACTGAAAACAGGATTCCACGATAAGAACGAAGGTCGAAGAAGGAGAAATTTACCTAGTGGAGAGACAGGCGGACCCCTAAGGGTGCGGACCAACACACAATTCGCATCGAAGGATATGCCTCCGGCGATCTAACATTCCCTTTGGCGCAGTTGGCGCGGAACGCCCACCGACTATCTAATCACTCGCCGCAGGTCTATACGAGTGATTAGATAGCAGAGAGAGCGTAGTGTTGAAGAGGGCATGAGAGTCGCATCAATGCGCAAATCAACGGGCAAGGAAGGGTCCCATTTCTCGGGTTTCCGGCGTTTCACATGGTTTCTCAAGAGCTGAATTAGAATTGACCGTTACAAGTGGTAAGATTTCGGAACCGGCTCGTGTCTCTTGAATGAGCCTTCGCACGACCCTCTCCTCCCTAACCATGAATAGATGGCACCCATAGTTTCGTTGAATCCAAAACGCACCGCACCTGGCTTCACAATCCCCACAAAGCTACCATCAGGATCACCATGTACACAGCCGAGCGGGAGAGCGGGTCGTGAGGCTTTGATAAGAGCTTCTGAAATAGCGATTTCTACACACTTCTGCTGTGTAGTACAACGCTTCCAGCGAGAATATAAAAGTTCCCCCCAAAACAACCCCGAACAAGAGGATCCAACTTCGTCAAAAAACTCGAGGGCTCCATACTTGAACTTTGGCGTGACCTTAGCAAGTGAAATGGTATATTCAAGACGAAGCAGTGGTTAAGAAGATCTTTTGTGGTCTGACTGTGGTCTCCTCTAGCCTCTAGATCTCTAGCAACCCCAGGATATATGAATCGGATTATGAATAACCATAAGCATGCAAATCTTTTCAGATAGTTCCTCTCCCTAATCGAGTATGTGATTTCCAATGTTAGTATCCATCAGTATCAAATGATAGAGGGTCGAGGGAGTGGCATGAACAACAACACGAAATGCCATGCATTTGACCTACACACTTTTTTGGAGTACAGGTTTATTTAGGTTTTATTGGTCCCGAATTTTGTACCAATTACTAACCAACCTTCAAGCAACAACTTTTTTGTTTGACTTAGTAGCCCCACCTGCTAGTGGCAAGCTCTCGTAGAGATTACCTCCGATCTCTATAAAATTCAGCGGAACTGCAAACTAAAGTGGTTTTATTTATTTGCTTTATGAAGATCGCAGAACAACATTAGGTAAGCAAATTCTGGAGTCTTTTCCTGTGGAAATTAGAAGGAGCTCGCAGAATGTCACGTAAAAATTGCCGTCAGAGCTCCTATCACTCACCTGTAAGAGTTCATGGAGACCGCATGAAAGGGGTTGCATTTTTCAGCAAGCGGAAAGCTTTGGTTTCATCACTAAGGAAGCGCTGCCGTATAAGGTTACAATGAGGGTAGTCTGGAAATTCCTCCTCCGGCCTATTTTACTAAATTTTTCAAAAGTGAAAAATTTCCAGATATCAAAGGAATGAATTCAGCGACCGTAGGCTAACATTCGAGCAGCTCGGCGACCTCCCTCTTCCACGCGGATAGGATGCTGAGAAGTGAAGAAGTCGCTGAGTGCCTCCCTAACCTCAGACCCTTGTACACCTTCCATGCAGCAAGCGCTGGAGATGCACGGCAAGATTAACGTCGTAATGACCTGAGAGAGCACTGGCTCATAATTTTTAGCTCATAGGGCATAGTTTTTCAACACAGCCTTGCTCGTTTTGCCGTACAAAATCATAAAGGAACCTGATGTGTTGTTGGCGGCTGTGATTAGAGCTGGCCAATAATCGGCCAGATCTTCTGAAGCACTAACCGCACTACTTCGGATTACTGGCTCTCTGGCCACTTCCAGCCAGGGCTTTCTAAATTGAATAAGTCGAGACAGCAAATCAGTGTGAAGAGATACATTACTATAAGTCTCAGCTACATCCCCCTTTGTTGAAGGTAATAGATAAGTTGTTCGAGCGCTGGCTTCCTGTGGTAAGCGGGAACCGCGTATACTCTTTATTTCCAAATTGGCTCGGTTTCGCTGGGAAAATAGTAAAGGAGAGGAATTTTCAGCATCTTTCTCTCTCTCTGTGATGAAAATGCTCAGTAAATGATCCTAAAGTGAAGTCCTTGGTGCTTCTAAGATCACGTCTTGGTATCTGTGATTACGTCGTGTTGACCCATAAAGGCAAATTAGATCAAATATATGGTGAATATTTTATTACGATAGCTAAGCGACTTTAAAAAGAGCTGGTAGTTTTTTCGTGAAAGATTTGCTAAAAGCTCTTAGAACTCATGTATACCAAGCACAAGAAAAATGCAGTGAGCCACAATTAAAGGGTTGAACGAAGCCCACCATAGGTGGCGCTTTCACTTCCTCCAATCATTTCATCAGAATGTCGCGGGTCCTCTGAACCTCGCCCACCATGGTAGCCGTGGCCATGTGGACCAAAGCTTTCGAATAGTCCAGATGATTGCGTGGAATTCATCGTCAGGCGAAATTTTTCAGTGATATATGCCACGATATAATACAGCAGGTTGTAGGCCTAAAATATCTACATACATACTTTATTCAACACACATTTTGGGCTAGCAATTGGCATAACCTAGGAACATGGGTATCGACTTTGAACGCGTAAACTCAATTAAGCTATGTCACTGCCACGCACTAAGGGATGGGGTCAGCAGAAAAAGAAGAAGAAGCAGTTTTTACATAAGGTCGCATACGTATAAAAACTTGCAACTGATGCTTGATCCTGTATGTATATAAAGTTGTAATTGTTTTGCTCATAAATTTTTACAGAATTTGTAGCTTTGAACATTTGCTAAGCTGGACGTCCTTTTGGGAAGTGGGGTAAGTATCAGGTTACCAGAATTCTCAGTGTGTTTTTTTGGGGATTTTTGACTTTGGATTTAGTCC